ACTTGGTTTGTGACCATAGAGTCGTAACATCCAGGGAAATAAATTAATTGCTGTATTTTACAAAACTTTTTGGTTTACTCCATTTACTTAGTTAAGATCATAGATTTGTAATATTATTAAATTTCCATGTACCAATCATTATCACGTATAATTATTTCTAGGTAACTTTGATTGTAGAAAAGTGCCGAGCAAATCGTAGAGGAGAATTTTAATTTGTGGACAATGGAAGGAATTAGTAAAGAAATAAAGCTATGAAGATAATTAGAAATCAATACGAATAAATGTATTTGCTAAAGTAAATAGTTATGGAGGTAAACCTCTTAATAGAATAACTAAGAGGTTCATTCATATGGCTTACAACTATATTATGTTCCATAATTAGAAGGTATACACGAAATCGTTGTCATGTAATATCAAACACCGTAAGCAATGTAATACAAAACATACAAGCTTTATAAAGAACACTTTATGCTGATATATAGTACAACGTAAGAGGAATATACGAAAGGAGAACTTTTATGGTACATTTAATTTTTCTTAGTAAGGCAAGTAAATTATATCAAGGTTTCAGTGTGTTTACCAGTCAGAAATAGATATAATATATGATGACGAAATAATGATTTTCCCTTAGTTTATGCAGGTGAGAGACATGTAATATTAATAATACCAAAACAATGATTACTCAATTGAGAGAGAGAGAGAGAGAGAGAGAGAGAGAGAGAGAGAGAGAGAGAGAGAGAGAGAGAGAGAGAGAGAGAGAGAGAGAGAGAGAGAGAGAGAGAGAGAGATAAATGTAGTATAAATTATGCAGAGAGAGAGAGAGAAAGAGAAAAAGAGAGAGAGAGATAAATGTAGTATAAATTATGCAGCAATAAATAATCCCTTAGTTTATGAAAGAGAGAAAGACATGTATTATTAATAATGGTGAAATAATGATAACTCATTAAGTTTATATTGTGCAATATCAATTAGTATCAATGTCACTTTACATCTCATGCAATGTTTACTTCTGTGTTTAGTCATATGCATTTTGACCGATCAAATAAACGTTTACCTTTAAAATGTAAATATGTAATGAATTAATAGTCCCTAATATACGCAATGAATTCATTCGTAGTCCTTACAAGAGGTTGCTGAGATTGTAATGTATATTAAATTCTGAGTTTCTGAGAGGCGTAATGTGTATTGAATTCTTAGTCCTTAAATATATATGGAAAATATGTCCTGGAGGACTTTGATCGTAAGAGGCGTAATGTTAATTGAATTATTAGTCTCTGAATTTTTAACTCCTAATGTCTACTAAATTTGTACTCCTTAAGTGGCTTAATGTGTATTGAATTTGTACTCCTTAATGGGCTTAATGTGTATTGAATTTGTACTCCTTAAGGGGCTGAATGTGTATTGAATTTGTACTCCTGAAAGGGCTTAATGTGTATTGAATTTGTACTCCTTAAGGGGCTGAATGTGTATTGAATTTGTACTCCTTAAGGGGCTGAATGTGTATTGAATTTGTACTCCTGAAAGGGCTTAATGTGTATTAAAATTGTATTCCTTAAGGGATTTTATGTGCATTGAAAGTAGTGAATGGGGAGTATATAGCGTCAATGGGAGTTATCATTAAAATAATTAAAGTAATCAATTATCTTGCATTGTCAAGTAAATGAACATAAAGAATAACATCTTTCAATTTAATATAAGAAATAAGTTAACAACAAATATATTTAATATGCACTTTTTAAATTTACATGGGCTAGCACAATTTGACTTTATATAGTAATTCATGTCATAATCCAATGATCAATGTAATTTGTATTGAAAAGAAAAAAGGAAACAATTCTTAGTAGTCTTTGTATGTGTTCCTATTTAGAATATTAACAAAATACATTATTTTTCAGTTGCTTTCTTTTATTTAGTGAACTACACCGGAAATCATGTGATACTTCCATTAGGAGATCTTACTCTTATTATATGAATTGAAACCATTTATCGATTTTAATTGTATCATTTTATTTAATCGGTTCTTGGTGCTCTATAAAATTTGAAGTAATCAATTCCTTTAACTCCATTGTCACAAAATTCCATGACTTTTCCAAAACTTTTCAAGGTTTTGACAAATTCCATAACTTTTCAAGGCCCTTGAAATTTATTTTTTAAATTCCAAAACTTTTCCAGGATTACATGACCTTCAGGAACTCTGATATAACTTTATCTACTGCGATATGTTCAGTCTCCGTCATATTCTGGAACAATTTCGTATGTTTAGCGTTACTTTTAGTCACAGTTACTTGAATATTAATGTTCCAGATTTTCTTAATTTCCACTGTAGTATTGGACAATGTCTTAATTTTAGTACTAATTTTAGTCTAAACCAATGTAAATTAATCTTCAGGGACATGTTTAGTCTCGGTTAAGTTCTGGGACAATTTCGTCATTTAAGCGTTACTTTTAGTCACATCCATTTTGGTGTTAGTCTTTTCCTTGATTAAAACTATTTATAGCATCATTATAAAAATGCAAATTTATGAACACCATCAACATATGTCAAGTCTATGTAATGCTTTATATATAACTATAGGTTTTATAGTAATATATGTCGGTCTCTATGTCTCTATTTTATAGGTCCCTCCCTAGAGTCGTAGTACTAGCTGCGCGTATTTAGGACAACTAGGTCAGCTCCTTGCTACATTGTTACCATGTGTTCAGAACCGTGATGTCATGTCACCAGGGACCATTCCTCTTGACGCTATAAAGTCCCAGGGTGTGCTAATACAAAATTTCCCTTGACGCTATAAAGGCACGGCTGTGCCATTTCGCCAAAAATCTTGACGATAAAGTACAAAACAGCATATTTTAATGATAACTCCCATTGACGCTATATACTCTCCGTTCACTACTATTGAATTTCGACTCCTTAAGGGGCTTAATGTGCATTGAATTTGTACTCCTTAAGTGGCTTAATGTGTATTGAATTTTTACTCCTTAATGGGCTTAATGTGTATTGAATTTTTACTCCTTAATGGACTTAATGTGTTTTGAATTTTTACTCCTTAAAATGCTTAATCTGCATTGAATTTTTACTCCTTAAGGGCTTAATGTGTATTGAATCTTTACTCCTTAAAGGGTTTAATGTGTATTGAATTTTTACTCCTTAAGGGGCTGAATGTGTATTGAATCTTTGCTCCTTAAGGGGTGTAATGTGTTTTAAAATTTTACACATTAAGGGGCTTAATATTTATTGAATTTTTGCTCCTTAAGGGGCCTAACGTGCATTGAATTTTTACTCCTTACGGGGCTTAATGTGTATTGAATGTTTAGTCCTTAAGGGGCTGAATGTGCATTGAATTTTTACTCCTTAAGGAGCTGAATGAGTATAAAATATTTAGTCCTTACCTTATGTATATATATATATATATATATATATATATATATATATATATATATATATATATATATATATATATATATATATATATATATATATATATATATATATATACAAACACATACACACATACATATACATTACTTTATATATGTATATAATTTCCAGTGATTGTTAGGTTATATGTTTATTCATTGCATGCTCTGTATTATTGTATATTGAGATTAAAATTGTTAAAAAAGTTCGTTTTCTAATAACTGATTTTAGTTTTTTAAACATATTTATCTCAATCTGAGTCTAGAACAGTGGGAATGCCCCTTGAATTTACAATTTTATCTTGCAAACATTTGGAGTCGTCCGGAATGAAATTTTTCCTTAGGCAATAGTTTTCTTTTATGAGTGAACGTTAACTTTGATATAAGGTCAAGTAGAGGACTTCGTCATCTTCTTTTTTTAGAAAGAATTCGCGCTTCAAGATCTGGGAAGAATCAGTTATATTCTTGTTGTGTCCAGTGTTTTAATTTGGGCTGAAAATTGTTTATTCACATTACATAATGCAAGTGATTCTTCTCAGAAAATGCAAAGCTCTCAAAATAGCACTCCTGCAACAAGATACATGGATTTGTAGTAAAATTCAAATAAGAATATTGTCCTGTCTTATTGTGATTCATAAAAAGACTTGACACATCACTAGAACACAGCCCATCACATGCACATGAAAACTTCCAGAATTGTAATTAATTTGTAATAACCCTAAATTTTATTCAGAACTTTAAATATTATGACTTGTGTTCCTGGATTATTTGGTTTTTAATTCGCAATGCTGTATATTCTTTTTACTTTTGTCACTTTGTATTCTATGAAAAGTAATTTGTTGCTGAATTTTACAAAGCCTGCTGCTTCTAACTCGTTTATATTACTTTTTATGTTCATAGAGGTGTAATACTAAAAATTGCGTAAAGTGTATTTGAATTTTGCTCGTTAAATGTTTAATATGTATCAAATTTGTACTCATTAAATCGCGATCTGTATTGGCTTCTTACACATTTCGAGGCTCAATGTGTACTGAATGTTTACTTCTTAAGAGGTTTAATGTTCATGGCATTCGCAATACAATAAGTTCTCTTACATTTTGTTACTTTGTATTCTATGGAAATAAATTATTTTTTCAATTTTGCAAACCTTGTTGCTTTTCACTCTTTTCAGTTACTTATTTTACTGCCATATAAAGTGTATTTAATTCTTACTTCTTACCTGGCGTAATGTAATTTTAAATATTACTCTTTTAGATACGTGTATTGAACTTTTACTCACGGAAAGGCGTGATGTGTTTTGAATTATAACGACCTAAGAGGCTCAATGTGTACTGAACGGTTACTCCTAATAGACGCAGTATGTATTGAATGATCGGTGCTTAGGAGTTGTAATGTGAATTGAATTTGTAATGCGTAAAATGTAATGAACTTTTAATCCCCAAGAGGGGTGAAATGTATTAATTATTTGCACTATATTAGTTGATGTAATATTACACTTATGTCTAGAATTGTGAGAAGCTTTACACTATGAAAGATGCTCTGATAATACGTACTTTAAACTTTTCACTCTTTGATAATGGACCGCTCCGGTGGCTTAGTGGTTAGAGCGTCCGCCTCAGATACGGAAGGTCGTGGGTTCTATCCCCGGTCGAATCATACCAAAGACTTACAAAAATGGTACTAACAGCTGCCTCGCTTGGCGCTTAGCATTAAGAGGTTAGTGTTAGGAATGGTCGGCCTGGTGTCAGGATAATATAACTGGGTGGGACAACATGCTACATGTCTGCGGCATGATGCCCCAGTGCTAGACATCAATATAAACTTCCACACTGCAGACATCGTAGCGATATGACTGAAAAATTGTTAAAGCTACGTTAAAATCATAATCACACCTATACTCACTCCTTGATAACGCATATAGAGTCTTCATCTACAGGCGTATTTAGGCCAGATAACTTTTCTTTCATACATTTATCAAGCCAGGTATAGAGCATAATCGAGCTTACTTGTGCCATATATAAATTATATGGAAACGTGTACTACAGGTGAAAAATATATCGATCACCGCAGATGAAATCAGAGTTGATGTTAAACAAATATAACTTACACTGTAGGCAGAGATAGTTTCATATATATATAAATATATATATATATATATATATATATATATATATATATATATATATATATATATATATATATATATATATATATATATATATGGACAAACCTAATTTCTTATATTAAGACATACATTTTATAGTGGTGAAATTAACACCAGTTGTCTGTCAATAAGACATAAATTTAAGGCAAGACTTAGGTGTTGTTGGTTAAAGTTTGGCCATTTGTATTTCAAACCCTTTAATTAATGCAGTTATTGGTTTTGCCTCTTATAAATAAACACTTATACAATTTGAAAAATCATAGCCTAAACAGGTACTAGCAAACAATAAGAATAATATACACATCCTATTTTCCAACATATTAAACTTTATTCCAGACTGGTGTAAATGTCTTCTCAAAGACAAAAGTTAAGCAGGCTTAGACCGTTTAGGTAAGTATATATGACAATAGCAAATAATATATAAATATTTATAACTATATAACTATATATAACTATAGAACTATATATATAACTCTATGACTATATAACTATATATATATATATATATATATATATATATATATATATATATATATATATATATATATAGAGAGAGAGAGAGAGAGAGAGAGAGAGAGAGAGAGAGAGAGAGAGAGAGAGAGAGAGAGAGAGAGTTATATATGGCTATGTAAAATATAATTTATCTTGAGATCGTTCTTTCTGTGAGTCCATTGGAAAAATCATTGTGTGTGTTTGTTGTAGCTTAAGAAGTACATGTAGGTTACGCATGTCAGCTGTATGTTGTGTAGAAGTACCTTGTTCGACAATATCAGCTCGTTCAGTGGAGTGTAAATCACGTTGCGATATCAGTGACATACTGTTACATAAACGCATTCGTGTATAGTCCTTTATTGTTAAATTTTAAATATTTAACCCACGTGGTAATATAAGAATACGTATAGATAGTTAATCAAACAAGAAATTACAGTCAATTTTAGTTAAATTGTTTGAAAGAAACATCTTCAAAACTGACGGTCGGGTTTTTAAAAGTTCTTTTCGAAATGCAAGGGCTTCGACTATGATTTTATCTTTTATGTATATTTACAAGGTAGCAAGAGTAAATTTCAACAGACTTTCTTCTCAATCATGCGCCTAGTCATATTCGACGTTTACTGGCCAATAAAAATGAAATATCTCATTTATTCACAAAAGTCGTATATCTCCACTATGTCGCAGTCTCCATAAGTTAGGACGAACTTGTTGATATCCCTGTATAATCTGATTGACAGCGGTTTCTTTACCAGTTTCTCTGATGGCATAGTGTTAATCAGCCTTCCATTGGCCGATATCTGTTGGATGCAGTGCGAACCATAGCCACAAATGTAGACATTCCCTTCTTTGTCAGTGTCTACACCAGCCACAACCTTCATATCCGGATTCATATACGCAAATACAACATCACAGGCATAATTATAAGCTACAAGCTTTTCACCTTGTTCATAAGACACGTATAACACTGCTTTCATTACGTCATTTACAACAGGTATAGGCCTCATGAGGTGTTCCTTTTTATAGCTGATTGACCTAATTGACATTATGTCTGTTCCAGCTTTGTCTATTATCAAAATGCAATGCTCATCTTTTCCTGTTGTGAACAGTAATTGGTCTTTAATTGCTGCAATACCCCAACATTCAAGTTTCGTTCTAATGTCCCTTATTTTCTGCATCGTCTGATTGAGTGCGAGTATTTGAATAATCTTCAGATTTGGAACTGTCACCGCCACTTCGCAGTCTGATAGTGCACATACATTCCATGGATGTTTTGAAAAAGTCATATTATCTTGACATTGAAAATCCGGTCCGCAGATCTTTATCCTAAGATTGCCGTGATCGACAAGAAGGAACCTCAAGTCGTTCAGCTGTATGATGTCTGATATATGGCAGACTTCTTTATCTTCCGCTAGTTTTACATTGAATTCAGAGACCTTTACCGCTTTTCTACCACTTAATGGTTGTCGGCTTGGAATTGGGAGAAGATCGGGCTTCGAACGGGATACGCGTATTGTTCCAATTTCAGTTAGAGTATTTACTAAATCTTTAAAAACTTTGTCAACTTCGAATGTGAATTTCACATCATTAATTTCCTCTTGGTAATCTGATATTGCCTTGAAATATCTGTTTTGATTCTGGTCAAGGGTGTGAAGCATGATGACCTTCTGGGTTTCTGACCCGTGGGTCAGCATAAGGTCAAGCTGGCTAAGGTCACTTTGAATAGCTGCAATAAGTCTGTTTAACTTTGCTTCCATCAGACGAAAGTTTAAATCTTCTGTCTTGAAATTTCCTTCGAGACAACCAATTAGGTCGTCTTCAATCTTCTGAAGTTTAGCATTAACTGTGACTCTAAGAGTCCGGATCTCGTGCAGGATGGTATCTTTTTCTCTTTGAATGCTGTCAAAATTTCGCTTTACTGTCTTTGTGATATGGATTAATTGGTTGTTAAGCTGTCTAAGGTATGTTCCAATATTTTTCGATTTTGTTGGAATACATATGTCCTCCAATACGTTATCAAGTGTATTGATATTACTGCACTTCCGGTGTTCTAAGAATCCACATGAGTTGCAGCAAAAGGTACTGTGATCAGTACAGAAGAGACCAATACGTTCTTTGGAGTGTTTTAGGCACATTTCAACGAAGGACAGGTTTGGATGCACTCCACTGAGATCTTTTCCAGCATCTATTGTGTGAACACTATGCTGACAGCATCTATTGTGTGAACACTATGCTGACAGCATCTATTGTGTGAACACTATGCTGACAGGTCATTGGAAGATCATCATGGTATTCTCTGCATTTTTCACACATATATTTATTACAGTCGTGGCAGAAGGATTTTGCCAAAGTTTGTCTGTTTCTTTTGCAACAAATATCACAAAATATATTTCTCCCTGTTTCAGCTGTGGTATCTAGCAGAGAAATCACCATTTTGTTTATTGGGAATGAATCCACCCATTGATCCACATTGTTTGTGGGATGTAATGGAGCCGTGATAGCTCTGCAAACAGGGCAGGGAAATGTTGCATGTTGTGCTCCATTTTTAGTCGAAGTTCTATTGATATGAGTCTGTAAGCATGATGCACAATACGTATGTCCACAAGGCAGTACTTTTGGTTTCTTGAAATTCTTCAAACAGACAGGACATAACAATACACGCATTAAACGTTCCTTTTCATATGAAGCGGTCGCCATTTTCCGATCATCTATAACTTGCATATGAACCCCTTTATTATCTCTCCTAGCAAGATCGTGTGATGTATAGCTTTGTGCTCACAAACAGGTAATATATTTAACACGCCGGGTATTAAGTTTAAATGTTACCATGTCGCGGATCAATAGCTCGGTGTTTCATTTTCCTCTCTGTATACATTATGTCCAATGAATGACAATTGTATGATAAAACAACAGTGCTAAAAGGAGAAAGATAAATTCACTATGAACAAACATTTATAGTAGGAGTGGATAAGGAAATATTGTCTCTCACATTTTGCTTTGAGCAGGAACACAGGAGCCCCATTTAACGTTAATGAAACCTTGCTGGTTTTGTTTTGAGTCTCAACACATTTTTTCAACGCAAGATAAGCTACAAATTGTGGCTAGTCTAAATTGTGGCGGATGAACCCGGGAAAATTTCGGTAAGAATCACCAACCTAAAGCAAGCTACTGCCTAGCTTTGTCACGTCTTCACGTTGGCAGACCCAAAGCCTGAAACTTACGCGAACATTGGCGATATTACAATAATCGGAGAAAAGCGAGCGCATGAGACCACTCGGCCACTTAGAACAGATATTGAAACCTGAATAACTAGTAATCATATAATTACCCGATCTTGATGCATACAAATATAATTCTAAACGAAACTCTTCTAGAATGACGTTTTTGATTGAAAAATTAAACCTTTTGATTAAAAATTGTGTTTTGTTTTTTGCACAATAATTTCCAGCACTCTAATATTTCCTGGAACAAATGATTAGCTGATCCATCTGGCTAATTTACTTTTCGGGTTGTGATGAAACCTGGGCTGGCGGCATGGGAGGAACTGGACTATTTTCATATGCGGTTCCTAGTAATACCTGATGGTGACCAGTACTGTACCATGGGTTGTAGGAGGAAGGAATCGCTCCTGTCTGGGATGCAGATGTAGAAAGGACATAGCCTGTGGCAACATTTGGCACTGGACAATGGGGAGGCAAGTTGCGGAACTAAAATAATGAATAGATTGCGTATTAGGAATTTAAAGTCAGATTCTTACCATAATAACATCACTACATTCTATCATTCAAGAAACATCCCTTTCTCATAGTATATAAACTATAATAGCAAATTTAACAGGTTGGGTTCATCTTACATACAAACAGGGAAGAAGTCAATACACGCTATAGAGTAGTCGCCGAACCTGATACAGAAAGTGTCTTTCAACTTAAATTTACATACATATATCATTTTATGGCGCTACTTATCCTACTAAACCATGCCCAGCCACAAAGTTAGACAATAC